TTCTCAACATCTGGATATCTGGCATCACACTGACCCCAACTGCTCTACTCTCAGCTGTGGGGTTACAGCGCACAGCAGATGGAGGGCAGGGATGCAGCTCGAGGAGAAAGGCATGTGGAGCCAGCGTCTGAAGATGCCGTATTTCAAGTGATCTCCCCATTGTCAGGCTATGTCCCAACTTTTAATTTAGCAAATATGGAGACACCGACAGAGGGGTAAAAGGAAGAAGGAGAGAGAAAGGGAGGGAGGAAGGAAAGAAGGAAGGAAGGGCAGCAGCTGAGGCAGGAGCTGGAGGGATGCGTCGCTGAGCTCCTCGCCGCAGCACAATGGCCCCTGGCCCCTAGGAGGGCTCCCACAGCCAGGTCTTTGGGGGCTTGGGCTGTCCTCACCCCAGGCCACGCCTAACTGGAGTGGCCAGTTTTCCCAGTTTACCTCTCACTGATTTTAGTATTGCTGTCATTCTCCTCGCTCCCTCAATGTGAGACAGAGGAGGAAGGGTAAAAATCCCCCCACTGCACAGAGGGAAATCAAGGCCAGGGAACGGAAGCTCACCCCTGATGAGCTCAGAGGCAGAGGTAAATCTCAGCTCCCTGCTTCCGGGTGCTTCAGAGAAGTCACTGCCCACGTGTGGGCCTAAGAGGCGGCACAGGGGACGCTTGGAGTTGAGAGAAGGAGGTCATCCCTTAACACGAGCCTGGCACACCCACACACACATGTGCACACGCCTAGCCGCGTGCCCTTCCCATCCAGGTGCTTTTCGGCAGCTGAAGAGAAATGCTCTCCCAGCCAGGCCGCGCCGCCCCTGCTCAGCCTTCCTGGCTGGCTGGGGGTGTTTGTTTTCCATCCTGGGTGACTGATGCAGAAGCGCAATTGGCTCCCACTGCTTTTAAGATGCATTTTCTGTCTTACAGGGAGGATGAGTGAGCATTACTCCTCCCTGCCCTTGCCTGCCCCAGGTGCCAGCCTGCAGTCCCGCAGCTTGGAGGGACCTTCTGGAAGGGAGAGGGAACAGCCCACGCCTGTGTGACCAAGTCCTGCACCTCTCAGCTTCCCCCCCTCCTGCTCTCCCAGGGGAGTTCACTGGGACACCAGGCCATTCACGTGCCTCTCTGCGCTGAACCCAGCTGCCTAACACCATGTGGACGCTGTGGATGAGTGGAGAAATAAGTGAAGACTGAATATAAACACTAAGAGCTCAACTTAATGAATGAAATGTGCTCCAAATTATGCCCCCCCACACACACACACTCTACACTATGCACTGTGCTCCTCGGTGTGGGCCCTGGACCAGCAGCTGGGCAGCCCCCTGGGAACAGCCCCAGGTGCCCTATGTGCAGACTAAGCTTGGGGAAGCTCTGCAGTGTGGCAGAGCAGGCAGGATGGCCCACGAGGCAAGCTCTGGGTCCCTCACAGGCCAGCGTTTCTCTAAATGTCATGGGGTTGCAACGGTCTGCGAAGGTGAGTGAAAGGCAGCTCCGACGTGGAGCACAGGCTTGGAGTGGGAGGAGGTCTCAGCTGCCTTTGCTCCCACCACTCCCACTGTGCTGTGCCTCTGGGGACCCAGCTGACAGATCCCGAGCACAGCAAGGCTTTGCTCTAACTAATTGCCACCAGTTGGCTGCAGCTCCATTCGTTATTCAGAAAGCCTCATTAATCTCCTAATGCCAGTGCAGCAGCCACTGCTCGTGCTGTTCTCCCAGTTCCTCCCGCGCCCAGTTCCAAGCAGGGCTTCTGGGCTCCTTCTGGCAGCATGGCAGGGGGCCCCCTTCCTGGACACTAAGCTGGAGCCTGGGGACAGAGACCCGGGTCCTTGAGCCCTGCCCCTGGCTGGAGCAGTCCTAGCAGGCAGGACCCAATTCTCGGTCACCCTTGGGCCACAGAGCCTCAGAATGTCGGGAGGGGGCCTTCCAGCAACGCCATGAGGAGGGTTCCTGGGGGCTGTGCGGGAGCAAGCTGCCTTCCCCCAGCGAAGCAAGGAGCTACCTGTGGGGAACGGGGCAGGAGGTGCAGAGGCGCGTTCTGGAAGGCCCAGGAGGAAGCCCTGAGGAAGTCAGTGTGCCCTGGCACATTCGGTCTGCACTTCCACTTCGTACCCTACCGCCCACAGGGCACGACAAGCCTTTCTCCTCTGGGCGCTGTTTCTGAACACTTGTCCCTCTGGACAGTGCGTTGGAGGGGCGGGACCTGCTGTGACTCTCACACTGTCCCCTGGTGTCCCACAGCCACCCAGACTCACGCCCGTACCACGGGGGGAAGAGGGTGTGGGAGGGAACGGGAGAGCCAGAGAACACGGCAGCTTGGGAGCACATCTCAGCACGGCAAGACAACGAGGCCTCTCAGGAACAAGAAAGTGAAGCAAACGGTCCACTGCCCGCCTGTGTGGCCAGGGGCTGAGGCAGCCACAGTGCAGGGGCCTGTGTCAGCCAGCTTTCCCATCACGGAGACCAATGCCCGACACCCACAGCTCAAAGGAGGAGAGGTTTAATTTGGCTCAGATTTCAGGGGACTCAGTCCATGGTCAGCTGGCTCCGAGGCAGGAACATCATGGTGGAAGGGCGTGGGGAGCAAAGCTGCCTAGTTCACGTAGGCAGGGAGCAGAGGAGGGGCAGTTACCAGGGAAGAAGGGGTGAGGGATGATCTAAAGCACCCAAAGCCACACCTCCATGGCCAGCCGGACACACCCAGGAGCCTGCGCTTCGAGACTGCTAAGCGTCTCTAACCCAATGAAGTCCAGTCTCAGGATTTACCGTCAAAGACTCCATCCTCTCTATTCCTTCCAACATTTTATTATAAAATTTTCAAACAGAAAAATTGAAAGAATTATACAGGACATGTTCAGTAGAGATGATCGGTATATAGATGGCCATCATTTCTGCTGGTTTTATTTTTCAGATGGACAGATCCTCTGGCCTCCACTTCCGCCCGCCTTGCAGAAGCTCATGTGAGCCCGCAGGCCTGGCCACAAAATATTCCGGTATTTGTTGAAGCAATACTGCCCTCTGCTGGCCTCAAGCCCTCATGTCTCAGGGTCAGCTCTGTGTGGCAAAGGGCTGAAGGAGATGATTCCTCCTGTATCAGCCCTTTGTCGTGCTCATCCCACCGGTCGGCTTTGCTTGAGATGCACCAGGCAGAGCCGTGGGCACCAGACTGAGGTCCAGCTGAGCTCAGATAACTAAGCAATGCGTTAGGCCGGCAAATGTCTGTATCTTCGTTCTCCTACAGCCACTTACTGTCTGCTGGTGTGGACGTAGCACCAGGGCTGAAGGCACGGCTGTGGGTTAGTACATTGGGTGCTTCCTGCTTGGTGAAGTAGGGACCCTCATGCTCTTTCTCTGGGGTCAAGAAAGCTATACAGCAAAGAGTGAGCAAGAGAGCAACCGGACAGGGTCAGACATCCCAGAGAAGAACCAAAAAGCACTCATTTGCCTCTTGATGCAACAACTGAACTTATCCGGGTGGTTTGTTGACGTCAGGTAACTACCTTGGCCCTTGGTGTGTGTGCTGTTAAATATTCCGAGGCAGCGATGTTTGAGTCTCTGCCAATGTGAGAGGCGTGCAGCAGAATCGACCTGCAGACAGGCAGCCTGGGGGGCGAGGGCCAAGGACCTGGGAGCTGGAAGATGACCCCCCCCTGGAAGTCTTTAGCAGTGGTTCTCAGACTTGTGCCACCATTACCAAGGAGGTTGTTAAACCAGGATGCTGCCCCACCCTGCCTGTCTCTCCCCATGTGCAGGGCATGAAGCCTGAGCATCTGAATTTCTAGAAGTCTCCCCAGTGACTCCCTGGAGCAGCCTGCGGACCCCTGGGCTTGGCTGTGCTGTGCTGTGCTAACAGCTCCTGCATGTGATGACTTTACACCATAAGAATGTGTTTTGTTTGCGCTACTTGTGGAAAAGTGTGGCTGTCGTAGAGTCAGCCATGAACCCAGGCCAGCAGATGGCACCCACCTTAGGGCAGCCGCTCTCGGACGCTAGGACCTTCTGGGTTGCTATGACCTAGATAAAGAAACTGAAGAGCATGTGTGGGCTTTTCCATGTCCCAGCCAGAAGGGATGACATAAATCTCTCCCACTCACATCCAGCAGCCAGGACATCTCACGCAGCCCAGCCAGGTTCCAGAAGGAGTCCTCTACCTTCCCAGACAAGGTCCAGAGATGCGGTGAGCACACCATCTCCCCTGCCACTCCAGTGTCTGCACAGCTGAGGACGCATGTGTCACAGTGGTCCCTGACAGCACATCTCATTCTCCGAAGTGCTGGTCACAGAGTGATGATGACAGTAGTGAGGATGATGATGGTGGTGACCTTGTATGGTAAGTGCCGTCTACACTTTCCATCTGTGAGGCAACTGAGGCATAGTGTGTTCTGTAGCTTGCACAGGTCATGGAGCTGGAAAGAGTCCGTGCTGGGACTGTAATCCGGCCAATCTGGTACCCGAGAGAGTCTGGTACCTGTGCTTTAGCCGCTGTTCTGCTCCATCACTGAGCAATTACTTCTAACTTGGAAGAGAGAGCACAGACTAGTGGAAGACCTGCTTCCTGGGTGAGCTAGCAGTGCAAACCCAATTCTCTACATACAGGCAGCTCTGCAGAGGGAGCATGGCCACACAGGTGGCTCTGCTGTTGCATGAAGGGCTTGATTCAAGCCCAAATGTTAAAATGGGATCTGGCTCCAGTGGAAGGCCTGTAAGGGCCCCGCCGATGCCCAGACATCCAGCTGGAGAGCTAGAGGACAGATCAAAACATTTCTTGATATTTCACAAGGAATTGCCTCCCCTACCACAGGCAACCCTTGAACAGGGACCAGGGGTTCCTCTCACTCTTACTTCTCCCCACCCCTTGCCTGGGGCCTGGCCCACCCAGACAGGCCTTGCCACACCAGCCAGGCCCGAGCACCTCCCTTTACGCCAGCCTAGGGACAGTGGTGGGAGTCCCAGGAAGAGGCACCAAAGCTCAGCACCACTAGGGAGAGACAGTTCCTCGGGCTGAGAGCTCCCCACAAACCAGCCCTGCTCCTTCCTCATATGCCGCCCATGAGTGTGCTGCTGAAAACTCCACTCCGTCTCGCCAAAGACCCGACCGTGCACGAAACTGGGAAAGGGGGAGATAGGAAAGAAACACAGCTAAAGGATGGGAGAGAAAAATTCTACTTGGACCCGCTGGTTAGATGAATTTGTGTTTGTTCCTCCTTGGAAGATTGGTAGGAGTCAGCGGCAGAGTCTGGCCAGCAGGGGCAATGGTCCCTGGGTGGGCGCCGGGCCCTCAAGGTCACTCCTACCTCACCACGGGGTCTGCGGAGGCCAAGATAGAGCCTCCGTGATCCCCATCGGTGCATCAGAGGGAGGCAGTCACTGGCCTCAACATGTCAGATTTCTTCCCTGGGATTTACAACCCTCTCATTTCTTGTTTTTCTTAATAAAAGTTCACCATCTCTGGGCCAGGGATTTAGCTCAGTGGTTCCGCCACCTGCCTCACAAGTGCGGGACCAGAGTTCGATCCCCGGTACCAAAAAAAAAAAATATTCACCATCTCCTTGGCAATAATTTTGAAACACCATAGTTTTCAAGGCAATCTGAAAATACTGGCTCTTTTGTTTGAACAGCCATCAGAGATATGTGGTCAGTAATTCTCTCTCTCTCACGCACACACACACACACACACTCATTTACAACTTCTGCTGACACCCCCAGTCCCCCTGAGAAGGGTGGCTGGGAATTAACTGTGTGTCGCACAGTTACTACATGCTGACACCCCAGGGGAAGGGTCCCCTGCTCAGGGTGCGCCTGGCATCCTGAAGCCACAGCCATGGAGCAGTGACTACCACCGTCCTTTCTGGTTGGCTCTCCAGGTGGTTAGCAATATGACGCCTCTTTCCTGTCTCGCGAGCGTGCCTGTCAGATGGACCAGCAGCAGGAATGATGCTTTGGGAAACAGACAGGAATGAGGGCTCCCTGGGCCCTGGCCCCATCCTGAGAATTAAACCGAGATTCTGACGCACACCTTCGGCAAACCCAAGTCTGGAGAGGGACCGACAGCAGACATGGGGCATCCGGAGCCCTTGTTCCTGTGTGGGCAGGGGAGGTGGCCGGCCCCTCTGCACTCACTCCGATTCCGCCCAGGTGAGCAAGCTCCTGCCCAGGGTCCGGGCCTCACCGCCCCCCAAGAGGGGATTGGTCTGCGAGCACTGCTGGGACAAAGCACCGCCGACCGGGTGGCGGAAACAACAGAAGTTTATGCCTCACAGTCCTGGAAGCTCCAGGTCTGGGGCCCGCGTGTGGCTGACTGGTTCCCCAAGCCCACAATGCAGCCTCTGTGCCGTGTCTCTCTGAGGGTGTCTGGCGGCTTGCGGTGATCTTTAGCATTCTTAGCTTACCAAAGTGTCACCAGCATCTCCACCTTCGTCCTCAAGCGCTGTGCTCCCGTGTGTCTGTCCAAATGCTACCATTTCACATGACCCGACTTACTCTGCTAGAGGTGCGTGATAGCCTCATCTGAACTGAACTAATTACACCCACGATGGCCCTGGATCTGAACAAGGCCGCCTTCTAGAGGCCTAACGTGCTTGGGGTTAGGACTCTAGCAGATGCACATCGAAGGGCCACTCTCAGCCCAGGACAGGAGAGGGTGGCCTCCCCTCCCTGCAGCCTGGCCGCCCTGCCTCCTGGGGATGCCAATGTCTGGGTGTAAAGGCAAAAAATCACTAGATTTGCAGTCCAATCCTCCAGCCTTCCAGAACGGGGTGGCTCTCTTCCTGGGAGTACGAGCCCAAATGTCTCTTGTTCCCCTCCAAGTCACACTGAACACAGACCCTTCTGCGAAGCACCTGAGATGCCATGCGGATCCAGCTGGCTGCTGCCAGTGAGTGCTGCCGGCCGGCTGCCCTGCTCCGCATTCTCCGGTGCCACCCACTGAGCTCTGTGGCCCCTCCCTGGTGGAAGTGGCAGGTCCACACACTCGAGCCACACTGAACCTTCTCGGTACCACGGCTGCTGTGCATGGCTGATGGGGATGAGGTGAAGGGGTCGGGAGAGGCTCTGTCCTCCTCCAGTGTGGTGAAACACTCCCGGAGCATGCTGGCCACGCCCTCCCGCTTTACAGGGCATCTTAGTCACTTTCTCCTCACTGGGACACAACACCCCACACACACCCTGAAGGAGGAGAGAGGCTCGTCTTGGTCTGTTATCTGTCCCCGGTCAGCAGGCTCCACGGCACCACAGCATGGTGGAAGGGGCTGGCAGAGGACGCTGCTCCTGCCGTGGCATCCAGGGTGAGGGGAGGGCCTGGGGTTCCTTCCAGCCACTACCCCCATGACCTGCCTCTTCCACTTCTAACAAGGCCCCCTCCTAACAAACATTCAGCTCACCAGGGAATAGCCTGCTCATGACCACAGGGCCCCGTTACCAAGTGGCAGCCCAGGGGCCCCACTTCTGAACACATGAGCCTTCTGGGGACTCTAGACCTAAACGGTAACTCAGGGCTCTGAAACAAACTCCTCTTTGTAGTGAGAATCACTTCCTCGCGGGGCTCACATGTCAGCGGTAAGCCAAAGGTGACTTCGAGCAATAGCCCACCCACACGCCTGCCCTCTCGCCAGTGGCTCAGTGTCCTCCCAGGCTCGGGCTCGCCTGCTCTCGTAGGCTGCCCTGCATGCCAGTTTCCGGTTCACCCGAACTCCAGTGGTTGTATCTGCACCCCATCAGGGAACACAGGGAGATTCTCCCCCAGGATCTACTCAGCCTGCACAGAAGTAACTTCCGGAAGGTCCACCTCCCCCATTTCCGAGATGAGCTCCAATACGGTCAGGTCTTCTCACAGCCAGCATGTGTTAATCCATGCAATGCAGTCAGTCATACCCTATAAACTAAAGCAACACAGACAAATGTGACATCAACTCAGTCCCTCCCATTAGAGAAGCTGCAGTTAGCTGAGAAGACAGTTGTAAAAAAAGATACTTTCAATACAAAGTCATAGAGTGAGCGACAGAGACACAGTAATGGAGCCTGGGGCTGTGAGGCTGCCCTTGTCCAGGTCAGAGGAGGATTTCTACAGCTAGGCGTCAGGGGGACCTGCAGGTGCTAGCAGGCCACGGGGAGGTTTCAAATGAGAGCAGTGCACTCACATGTCCATCCCGCGTACACCACCCTAGCAGGGCATACACACAGGGTGGGAGAGGGACAGAACTGGAGGAGCCAGGCCCAACTCAGAGGCTGACACGGTAACCCAGTCAATCCGCGAGCAATGTGGAAGGGGCAGTCAAAACACGGCCAGCAACTGAAATCAGCAAGACTTCGAAATGCCTTCACTGTGGAAGCGTTAGGGAGACCAGGCAGCCTCAAGTCCGGGAGGAGATGGTGACAGCAAAGTGAGGAGACACGGGCACTTCCTCATCCGGCTCCACCTCCACCCAGGGTGAGTCTCGCCGGAGGGCTCTGCACCTGAATCCTCCAAGCCCATCCGCGAAGCACCTGCCAGCCTCCCTTCCTGAATACCGAAATGCATCTTTAATCACTAGCAATTACTACTAAATTACTGGCTGCTATACGATAGGCAGGTAAAGCCACAGTGTCCTCGAAGGGCTCAACATATAGTGAAATACATTAGTAACTGAAATATCGAATGCAGTGTAAGTACAGACAAGGCATTGCCCAGTGCTGTGGAGAAGGTACATTACTTTATATGGAGGATTTCGCAGAGGAATGAGATGTGAGCTGATCTGGGAGCATAGCTAGCAATCCTGCAAACAACACTCGGGGGGAGAAAATGGCCCAATCAGACACATGGCAGGGAAATCTCAGAACCCTGGCTTCACTGAGACCCTGGCCCCAGCCTGTGCTCCCCGGGCTGGGAGGCCCCTCAGCAGCTGCCGGAACCGAGAATTATGATGCTTTTTGGGGCACCACAGCCACCCCCATCAGCACCCCCTCTGGACATTGAGCTGCCCTGGCTCTCAGCCTCTGTTGGGTGACAGGGTCTGCTAAGACCGACCTGACCTCACAGACCAATGTCCCAGTGACTGGCCTGCTCCCGCGTCACAGCCAGCACTCCCGGCACTTCCTGGGGCTGTAAAAGGAACAGGGTCTCCCTTCTGCACCCTTTCCACCAGTCCCGAAATCTGCTTTCCATGCCCGGTCCAGAAGCAGACAGAAGTCTCTCCCTCTCCTGCTCCCCCAGCACGGCCTGCAGGCCTAGCACTCTCACGTGGGGCTAACTCAGTGGCCTGACTTGGGTCCTCTGGGCCCCAAGATCGATCAGTACTCTCCAGTGCCTCTGAACTGCCAGCCCCAGACACCTGCAGAAACAGAAGCCCCAGCTCTTGGCAGTCCTTTGGGCTCCTTGCTTCCCCCAGGGTTTTGCCACACTTGACCAGAGCCCTCTCTGCTTCCTCCCACCTGTTGGCGGAGGTGGACAGCCGTGAGCTGAGTCCCAAACAATGCAGCTGCACGAGAAGCAGGCGCCAGGCAGCTCCCTGTCCTCCAGTGCATGGTGAAGGTGCCAGAGCTCGCCTTGAACCTGGAGAGCCCGTTGAGCCGTTGCCGTGCCCTGCAGAGACAAGCCAGGCCCTTGTTCCGAGCCCACAGACCTTGCCCTGGCGCCATGGAGCCCACAGCCCCCTCAGGCCTTTGACTCCATCTCCCAAGGTCAAACTTGGAGTGCAGACTGAGCACGCTCAGACCACAGATCTGCTGTCAAAATCAAGCAGTTGCTTCCTTCCTTCTCTACTTATCGGCAGCTCTATGCTGCGATGTTCCATGCCGGGACAATGGCAGGGAGAGATCACGTGGGGCTGATGCCGCCACTGCCCCCCGAGGCCTGGGAAGGTGGGTGAGGGGGGCAGGCAAGAAGCAGGGCTCACCCACCCGGCTACGGGGTCAAGGGGGAGGACGCTCAGGAGAAGGGCAGTGCTGCCCAGCGCTCCCCAAGGCCCCCAAGGGCAGCGTCCCCAGAAGGCCGTGCCGGGGTCCAGTCGTGCAAGAAACCCTCACAGACAAGTTTGTGTTTCACTGCCCCTACACACACACACACACACACACACACACACACACACGGCTCCTGTCTGGCACGCCTTGGACTTCCTGGATGATTAGAGGAAGCAGGAGCTCAGGACTCGCCGCCTCCCCGCTCCTCTTCTGGAAGACCTGTCTCCGGAGAGCGACCTGTCAGCGGCACACGGCGGGGCACGAGAGATCCGACTGTGCGTGACGACTCACAGAAGTGTGCGCACACACACCCACCTCCACCCGCTCCCTGGGCCGCTCACTGGCTGCATTGATCTCCGCAGTGTCCCAAGTTGAGTCTTGTCCCTAAAGGGCCCTTCCCAGGGGGCCATCGTTTTCCAAGCACGTCATATACATCACCCCTTGTAATTCTTCTGACCTCGCTGTTGGAGGAAGCTTTCCCTTGTACCCATTTCAAGCCCAAGAACTGTCAAGAAAACCACCAAGGATCTCGCTGCTACCAACGGCACCCACAATTCAGCCCCAAGTCTGCATCTGTTGCCTGACTCTTAAAACCTTCACTACAACAACGAGGGGCAGGCACACGAGTCAGGACTGTGGGTCCACTTGGGGACAACCCTTTGCAGAGAGCCTGCCCCTGCCCCTGCCCCTGCCCCCTCCGTGTTGGGCACAGCAGGGTCGAGAAGATGGTCAGGACCGTGCTGGGGCCCCTTCGAGTCAGGTCACGGGCAGGGAGGGCTCTGGAATCACCCCCGCAGGTTTCTAGGGGGCATCGGTCGGTCCTGGGAGTATCTGCTCTGAGGTCCCCTCCCGAGGGAGCCCGGGAAAAAGAGAGGGAGGGAGAGAGGAGTGACACAGCCATGCCTGGCCCTGCCTCTCCCATGAATGGACACCTGGCGCCTCCTTAATGGTTCTTAAAATAGTAAAGAAAAGGAGCGGCAGACAGAGAACAGTGAGGCGGGCAGAGGACTGCAGGAAGTGGTCTGCTCCCCATCAGCCTCAGGCCTGTCACCAGGCAGGACGCTGCCACTAGGGGGAAGTGGCAGCTCACTTTTAGGATCGAGGAGCCCAGCATCCCCCCTTCTCCCGGAGATGCCAAGCACAATCCCACAATGAGCAGTCAGGCAGCCCTGGAGCTGGGCAGTCACGAGACTCCAGCAGGGGACAACTTTACTCGGATGTTTTGGTACAAACCCTTCTGTTTCGTTTGACCCTGTCGATAGACTCGGGGAGTGGACTGAGCTCGTTAGCCCAGTTTGACAGATGAGAAAGGTCCCCAAGATTTAGACGCATAGCAGGTGCCCAGCTAATAGCGGTGCTACAGAACACTAGCGGGGGGCCCGGGCCCGGGCCTCGTTCAGGCTGCGGGAGACACCATGCCACGGGCGCAGCTCCTCACTGCGGACCCGGTATCGTCTTCCATCCCCTCATTACTTGCTTATTCCCTACAAGATTGAGAAGACATGGAAAAAGGAGTCTAAAACCAAACTGTTCAATCGAATGCTTTGTAGTCACCAAGACAGTCAGAATAAGGCAAGTAACTCTCACGACCACTCGCTGCCCTAGACGCCCTCCTGCTGGCTTTTCAAGGTCACACGTGTGACCTTGGAGGGTCGCTGCTAGCTCTGGCTGGAAACCACGTGCAGAGCAGGAGGACGCTGCGGCTCTGCGGTGCACTGGAAGTGGTTCCCACGCAGGAAGTGGCAGCGAGGTCAGAGGCAAAAACCGAATGCCGCGGGTGACGGAGTTTACCCTGCACCAGCGAGCACCAAGGCTGGGGCCCGGTGAGAAGGGGCCCGGTGAGAAAGGGCCTTCGGGCGACAGGGGTGACGCGGAGCTCTACACAGACACAGGGAGCACAGCAGGGGATGGAGCGCAGGAGCCCGGCCTGGCAGATCACCTGCCGGCTCCAAGGCCGAGGGCCTGGACAGGACGTCTCGGAAGGGCATGGAGGCTCGGGGGCTCGGGAAGGGGAGGAGACCGGAAGTCCAGGCGGGAAAGCTGGCGCCTCCCTCCCCGGGAGCAGCTGGAGAAGCGAGCCCAGCTCTGCCGGTCTCTGAAGGAGTGGGACCTGCGACGCAACCCCGGCGAAGTGGGCAGCAGCCTGGCGGAAGCCCGCGGTCCTCGCGCATGGCGCCCTCCTGCTCCCGAGGCCCAGGCCCCGGCCCTGGGCCCCGCTGCCTTCCCTCTCCAGGCCCGGGGGGAGCAGGCTTCCCGCCGAGCGCAGACCTGTGGAGGTGAGGAAGTCCAGTCCCGGGAGCTGTCATGGGGGAGCCCTGACGGGACCCCCAAGTTCCAGCGCAGCGAGGCTGCTCAGAGGGGTGAGAACCGCGGCCACCGGAAGGGCTTGGGGAGGGGACGCAGGGTCACCCAGAGAAATGGGCGGGGCGGGGCGGGGCGGGGCGGGGGAAACGCTGTTCTTGGGAGCACCGAGCTCTTGCTCCGGGCATCTCAGAGTTAAAATAAATAAACACCGACTGGCAGGTCTGGCACCTTTCCACAACCCACCCTTCCACCCCTCAGCCTCCGCCCCACACGCTGATCAGCGGACTCCCCGCTCCCACTGCCCAACCTGCGGGCGGAAATGTTTTATCGTGGAGGGGACCTTCGCCCCTCGGTGGCCTCTCCCCCCTCGCCATCCTTCCTATCCTTCCTCCACAGCCTTGCACGATCTGCTCCCCTTCCTGTCTCACCAGCCACAACGGGCTACTCTCCACATGCTCTCCCTGGTGGTGTTCCTACCGCTTCAACTGCATGGCTCCTTTCTACCCCAGGGCCTTTACACATGCTGATCTTTTGTTTCTCTGACTCCCCACGTAGCTAATTCTTCTGATTTTCTCTCCCTTCCTTTTTCTTCCTGGAAGGTCATCATGTCTCATCACTGGTTGTCCAAATAGTGCAACCTGGAGATCTAATTAAGTGTAAAAGACAGTTCAGGACCAAAGTGAGGTGAGAATCCACTCCTCTGTCCTCGTGAGCACGCCTCCCTTTTCCCTCCGCCTGTAAGGGACCCCTGTTTTGTTTATGGGAGGGTGATCAGATGTGCACTGTGGAGTTGGGTCCTGGTGGGCGCTTCTCCCTCTGCCAGTGTCGCCCGTGAGTGGGGCGGGAGATCTGCTCAGGCTCAGCGCTGTTCCGCGTGCCGGGGGCCAAACACATGCTGCCAGCCTGCCTCATGGCACGGCTTTCTCCTCTTCACTCCTGCCATCCCTGCTCAGGCTAAAACGCTTCCCTCCTGCCGTTCCAGCTCAAGTGTCCCCAGCCCCAGACTCTGCGGTGACTCTGCAGGTCTCTGCTTCCCTCTGAGTTCAGCTCAGAGCCTCATCCGGGCTGCGGACTCCCTGCCATCCCGCCTTGTCTCCCACCACCCTGCAAAGTGGCTCCGCATTTCCAGTGCAGGCTCCATTCACTCCAACCTCTGCTTTTCCTAATCCCACCCCAGCCTCCCCTTCACCTCCCAACTCTGGGCCCCCTCTTCCTTACGCCCCAGCACTGAGTCTGGTTTTTCTGCAGCCCTGCCTGACGTCTCCAGCTGGCCGCAGCCCGTGGCCCCGTCTCTGAGGCAGCAGGGGCTAACAGCCCTGGGGCGGGTCGCTGAGGCCTGGACGCCTGCTGCTGTTTCCCATGTTTTAGTCTTGCTCTCTTTGGAGCATGTGGTTGATGTTTTAATAAATAGCCGGTTGAATGGTTGACCGAGGAAAATATAAAGACGAGGGCATTAAGGGAATCTCAGCCAGGCAGAGCTGACGCGTCTGTGCGTGCGTGCGTGCACACGTGTTTTTGCGAGCTCGCCCACCTCCTGGGGAGCCTTCCCACATGCATGCGCCTTCCTTTCTGTAGTCACCCCTGGCTCGAACAATGGGTGCTCTGCTCTGCTCCGAGCCCCTGGAACGCGTGAGGCCTGCCTGCTGACTGCAGAGGCAGAGTGCATCCTCCTCGGGCCCAGCGCCTTCTGAACCTATTCCTGCCTCCCCCAAAGGAGCTGTTCCTGGCTCTGTGACTCACCCAGGCCAGCAGAGTGCAGGGAGGGAGAAGGAGCAGAGAGGATTGCAGAGGGCTGGGGATAACAGCACTTCCTGGGCCAACTCAGCCATCACCAGAGTGTCTTTTAGAGAGCAGAACTGGCTGATCCTTGTGCTGGGACACAGAGCTGGGCTGGCTTCCTACCCCGGTGCCTAGGGCACAGTCAGCAGCTGATGAAAATTTTACAGAATTAGTTCATCACAGGTGCGCTGGGGAAGGCTTCAAACAGGCAGAAATTAGCTACCTCAGAGACGGGCTCCCTCACGTGCAAACACCCGTGGGCTTTGCATGGCTGCCTCCGGCTGTGATAAAGGCCAGCGTTGACACAGGAAGAGCTGAGCGGCCGGTCAGGGACGCTCCATCCAGGAAACCTGGGAAGTTAACGCTAATATGCCCTAGTTTGTTGTCAATACGAGTAAGAGTCAGCACTTAGTACTCACCATGTACAGCAATCACTAGCAGGTCAAACTTTTTAAATTATAATGAATCTCAAAGTTCTTTTCACTTCCGAGGGCCAATCAGATCCAAATAAGCATCTACATGCCTGGCACAGTAGGACTGGGAGAAGAGGGAAGGAAAACAGGCAGAGTCCCTGCCCTTAAAGAACTCTGGATTCAAGGAGGGAAACTGAAGTGGAAGCAAACTAGATTTCAAGGCAGAAAAAGATTAAGAACGAAGGAGATTCAGCCTGGCATGGTGGTGCAGCCTGAAATCCCAGCACTCTGGGCGACTGAGGTAGGAGGATCACAAGTTTGATCTTACTAAACCAGCCTGGGAAACTTAGGCAGACTCTGACTCAAAATAGAAAGGACGGGGCATGTAGCTCTGTCCAAAGGCTCTGGGCTCACCCCATACCACAAAAGGAAAAATAAAGACTAGGAGATGCGGGGACACACACACACACACACACACACACACACACAC